AAAAAAAAAAAAAAAAAAGAAGAGGGATGCCTTTTTTTTTTTTTTACTTCGGAGACTGAGTTGTGCATATCTTGCATTTAATTTGCTAATAAATAAATCTTAATAAGGGTCCAAAAAGAAAGAATATTTCATTGATTTTCTATAGAAAAAATAATTAAAAATTGGTTAAATACCTCTTCCTCTGTTTTTTACTTCTTTGATTCAATGTATCTTTTCCTTATAAAGACTCCTATGCCCAAACAGAGTTCGAAATACTGTTTCTTATCTAAACTTAAAAGAAGGAATTCTAGAATTGGAAGGACTTAGAAATAGCTCTAAATATTAGGAGAATAATTAAATTACTACTCTTAAATATAAGAAAAAATAATTAAATGACTATTTCTGCATATTAGAAAAATAATCAAATGACTATTTTGCCTAATATAATTTTCATTTTAAAGGGGTAAAAAGGACGAACGACATTTCGCTAATGGCCTTCGTGCTTTTAATATAGTAGATAGATAGATAGATAGATAGATAGATAGATAGATAGATAGATATAGATAGATAGATAAATTTGTCTTTAAACTATAAAGACGTCGGTAGCAATTGAAAAGAAACATATCAAGTATAATTGCAAAATATCTTTTTTGCAATTCAAAACAATTGATCTCTTATTCCAGTACTACATGTGGATCTACTATAAAACTCAAATATACCAATAAATAGTAATTTTCTGAAAGTATAGCTACAAATGATAAATACAGTATATATATTTGTTGTGTCGCATTTTTTTCTTATATATATTCAATCAATTTTTTAACAGATACATGTTAAGAGTCCATGCTAGCTAGAGCTGTCAATACGTGGGCTTTAGCAATTGACGTGCTGGGCTGGGCAAGCCCACCATTTTGATGGCCTTATAATGGTCAGCCCACCCCAGCTCTATGTGGGCCGCGAGCCCCCACGGACCGGCCCATCATTTTTAAAAATATAATTTTATATTTTTTCCTTAAGTTCTAACCTAAAAAAAGATAATTATTTAAAGTTAAAAAATATCTTGTTGGAAAAATTCGAAAACTTAATAACTTTTTATATTGTTCCAATATATCACGATAAATACTAAAAAAGGTAAAAGACAAGATTATATTTCATTCATTAAAAGTCAAAATTCAAAACAAACTATTCAATAGAACGTTCATGATGCTTATGAGATATCCAACACATCATCTTCATCAAACACATTTGAATCTGCTTGTGACAGGGTTGTCTTAACATCTTCATTTTCATCTACAATTCATATGCAATATTAATTAGTTAAATATTAAAAATAATTAAATTTTTAAGTTAATAATATTTAAATTCACATAAAAAATATTACAAGTTTGAGTTTTGGAAAACCTGTGCAGCCAATTTCGAGTAGTAATAAGTGTTTGGACATTTTCATAATAAATGCAACTTCTGTACTTTGTAAGAACACGCCACCAATGCTAAATGTTGATTCCGATGCTACAATGGTAATAAGAATACTAAGTACATCACGCATCTTCATTGAAAGATCGGGATATTTTCTAGAATGGTCCTTCCAATACATGACAACATCCATCTCTTGAAACTTCTCAAGATCAAGTTTTGGTTCCTCTTAGTAAAGATCCAATTCTGACTTTCCATCTCTAAAGGCAATATACTTTTTATTTTTTATATATTTTAAATAAATATTTTATTAGGCCCACGGGCCGGCCCGGCCCAACCTCAGTCAAGTTTTACGGGCCACAGGCTTACTCGGGCCGGGCTTAAAAGCCTCGTTTTTAGACGGGCTCCAAATATTTTAGCCCAGCCCTGCTTAATCACGGGCTGGGCTGGCCCAACGGGCCAAGCCCATATTGACGACTCTAACGCTAGCCCTGACTTTTATAATAGTGTATATAAATAGATTGACAGATATAAATTATTAATTATGTCATGATTTAATTAACAAATATAGCAAAATAGAACACTATACAATCAAATATTAATAAGCAATCATTATATAACTTAGATTTTTTTTTGGTCTGATAATTTTTTAACTTGACGGCACTTGATCCATTATATTGTTTCATCATCTAACGTGTCTTTGTTATTACGTCACAATTAAAATTTTAATTTAATCTTTCAATCACTGACAATGAGAATGGCTCTAGTCTGTCACATATTAATGGATTATTATCTACATTGAGTGCTTGACATGCAGATTAATCCAAATCCATTAATTCAAAACTAGAGGTATCAAGGAATACACCGCAAAACTTAATAAAATTAAACAAAAAGAACAATGACAGTTACAGGCCAAATTTGCATTTGTGCATCAGTTAACTGGAAGAACACATTATACGCATGAAAAACAGAATACATTCAATAAGAAAAAAATGAGATTAAATAGATAATATAATAAATATCAGTGAGTAAACAAAAAAGAGGTAGCCTGGTATACAAAGCATCCCGCATTGTGGCTGGTTCCACAATTCGAATGCAGAAACAACTTTATCGTCTTCAGTGCTAGTAGCTAGGGGACAATAATTGCATCAAATCTCCATTGAGATTCTTGAGAAAAGGCTTCAGGCTTGGGGAAATAACCTAAGTACAAAATTAACACACAGCAACCCACAACATCTTTGAAATAAACAACCACATATCAATTCACGTCATAAGTCTCATTTCAGAATGTGGCAATCTTGATCATACTTGAGAGTAACTTCTGATTTTGGCGAGGTACGTTGAAATCAATTTAGCCAAGTAATTTTGTTTGATGAAGACAACTTCTGTTGTAGGTGATGCACGCTGACATTTTGATAACTCAGTAGCGAATATTTTGACTGTTGCAGATTCTTCATCTTGATATGACTCGATTAGCATTCTTACCAGCACCGGAGACTTGGCTAATAGAAGCTTCATAAGCTGCAACAAACGCTTTGAGCCTTTAATATACTTTAGATTAACTTCCTTGAGGTGATTAAATGTCACGTCCGAGAAATGTTCCACTTTAAGAGATTCCAGCGCAGATGTACCATCACCATGAAGATACAACACCTAAGAAAAGATTAACCAAATCTCAACTAATTAATGATTTAAGGAGTATGAAAATAAGAAACAAGAAACGGCATAATACATAAAACAGGCTCTCAAACTTGGCCTCAGTTGGCAAGCATGCCCTCCAACTTTAGGTGTGCACAAGCAGACACCTCAACTTGCCTCCACTTTGTCAATTGAACACTCCAACTTACAAAATGATCATCTAGACACCTCCAAAATTTATGTGCCACGTCAGCGTTTGTGTTTACATGTTCGACTTTATACAAGTTGAGGTGCCTACTTGTGCATCCAAAGTTGGAGTGCATGCTTGCTAGCTGAGACCAAATTTAAGAGCCTGTTTATGTATTATAAGAAACTATTGTACATAAGAAAGAGAAAGAAAAGAGAACCTCAATTTCTAGATATTGTAAACATGGGAAGCTTCTAATCAAGCAAACAGCAAACGAGATGACCTCCAATTCACCCCGATAACGATCAGATAGGTAAAGACGTTTCACACAGTTAAGAACAAAGGGAAACCTTTTTGATAAAGCTCCACCTATTCCAGCAAAGAGCTAGGAAAGAAATTGCCAAAATCAGGACGACTCAAATCAAAAAGATGTTCCATCATTGAAAATGCATTACAAGGAAGTGATGAAGCACATTTACCTCGATACTACCATTGCCCAAGTGGAGATGCTCAAGAGCCGAAAAAGACTCAAAAAACTTGGCAATATCACATATTCCTTCTTTCTCATCATCTCTTGTATCTGCAAGTGAAAGTTTTGCAAGAAGAGGGACATCTTTTAACGTAAGAAATCTTATACTGCCTGTGAAGTCAAAAGATTTCAACTTGGGAGCTTTAATTTCAATAATGTTCAAATGTTCTGAGATTCGCAGCACCAACTGCTCGAGCAACAGACAATTGGAAATTAGACTTCCAAGAAATTTGGAAGAAATTGTGACGTCGCGTAATTCCAATCTAATTAACCTGTCAAATCCTTTGAAGTTTGATGGAGGAAGTATTGAACAATTCTGGAGAGTCAGATGCGTCAATTGCAAGCATTTGAAAAATGATACAGGCAGTTTGTATGGGTTACCACTGAATGGAAGTCCAAGAACAAAATGCTGAATGCCATTTCTAAAGAGAAAATATATCAAGTCATCAATCTCAAGATAACGACTCGAACTAGTAATGTAGAGGATAAACTTTGTAATTGGTCCTACATGAAGCATCAAAATGTGGTAGATAATAATGGAAATTTTTCTCGGACAGAACATTTCATTATTTTTAGTTGTCCAAACAGTTTCATCAAGCGTCAACTCAGGAAGTCTGCACCATTTATATCTCCATATATTTGATAAGATGCTCGTCCTCACGGCATCTTTAAAAGGCAAACACATCAAAATGATATCAATTACATTCTCCGGAAGGTTGCTAAGTACATCGGAAGGTAAAGTTAGACAACAATGCTTTTTACCCTTAGAAGGCATCATATAACACTACCTGTAGAAAAGAAACAAGAATATGAAGATTAGGAGGATCTCTAAACTATGTGGGCAGAATTCCAGATGAAGCTTATTAAACTGGCATCGATAGCTACACAAGAAAGGATTAATAAAACAAGTCCAATAATTGGTCAATTCAACTTCGAAAATTAGCTGTTCTTTTTAAATAATATAATGGTGTTTTGTTAAAGCAAGTACCAAGGAGGTATAATGTAATGGTCTTTGTGACCTATAAGACCTATAGGTCACGGGTTCGAGGTGTAGAATTACCGATGCTTGCATCAGGGTACGCAACCTACATCACATCCCCTTAGGTTGCTGTCCTTCTCCCGACTCTGCGTGAACGCGGGATGCTTTGGTACCGGACTGCCCTTGTTTTAGAAGATTAACTATTTCACAGACGGGCTAAATTTGACATCAAACTAGTAATAAATAAGCTTAATAACTATTTCCTACAAACAAAGGCGGACGCACATGTTAAGTTGAGGCATCACCACCACCAAAGGATGTGGTGCAGTGGATGAGACTGTTCTTCCCTTAATCAGAGGTCTCGAGTTCGAGCCCTGGTTATGGAAAAATCCTTGGTAGGGAGCGCTTCCCCCCGAATGGGGCCCTACGCGGCGCGAATCCGGATATAGTCGGGCTCCAATGCGGGTACCGGACACCGGGTGGGAAACCAAAAAAGAAGTTGAGGGGTCACCGGCACCCGAAAAATTCGGTAAAAACTCCATATATCATAGGCCCCGTATCAATCTTTATGAGCAGTGATAAATTTATATTGAGTGTCATGGTGACCCCGCCACCGCCGAATCGTGGGTCCGCCTTACAAATCGAGTAGCCTTAACCCTAGAAGTTGAGTACCAAAACTGGAATAGCGTAAATAATCTCAGTAAGCATGAGTGGCAAAGTTATAAACACAAAGGAAACTGAATAATCATGTCATATTTAACATTAATGAAGTGAAATTTCAACAAAATTACAGAACGCCAACTACAATAACACAGCGCATGATATAATTAAAGATAATCTTAATCTTACTTTACAAGGAGGAGTTAGGCTTTCTCTTCTTTGGGTTGTCCTCAACTCTTCCGCTGTAGGCTACTAATCAAGCTTTCTTTAAGTATTTAGAGCTGCTGCTGCTGCTGCTCTTCTTCTTCTTCTTCTTATTATTATTATTATTAACTCTTTGGTTTCTCCCTCTAAAATAATTGTCAGAAGTTGGCACTACCTAAAACATAAACAAAAAAAGGAAAATATATATTTAAAAGGAATAAAATTGTCTTCAAAGTATAAAGATGTTCCTAGCAATTAAAAAGAACATATTAATTTTAATTACAATTATGATCAACGATGAAATATATATTTAACGGGTGAAAATATTGATCAATATTTTAATTTAGAATTTCATACTTTACTAATTCATAAGTGCAATCAGGGGTGTTCATAAAAATCCGAAAAACCGAACCAAACCGAAAACCAAACCAAACCGACCAAAAGAACCGATACTTTTTGGTTTTGAATTTTAAAAACCGATCAAATTTGGTTTGGTTTTGGTTTTAATCAGAAAAAACCGAACCAAACCGACTATAGGAGTAGCTATTTCAAATTTATTATTACACCTATAAATATGTATATTGTTATACAAAGTTTCAAAAAATTTATGGTAAATGTTAATAGTTTGCACTTTTAATATAGTTCTTTACCTTTACATTCTAGTTTGATTGGTAGTTTTCTTTTGTTTAGTATAAGAATCCATTTCGTGTTAAAAATAATATATTTTTAATTGAGTCCTTAAATTATTCATCACTATTTGATTCAATTATCATCAATATATCTCGGTAAATAATAGATTTCTCAAAGGGCAATTGATTTGATAGTGTTACATTGAAAATGTGGTCGCCGGAATATGTGTTTGGTAGTGTATGTCTTATATTTAAGAAAAAACCGACAAATAACCGAAAAAACCGAAAAACCCGAAAAACCGACATAAACCAAATCGAGAAAAACCGACTTAATTGGTTTGGTTTGGTTCTAATATTTGAAAAACCGACTTACTTGGTTTGGTTGCTTTTTAGGGAAAAACTGATCCAAACCGAACCATGAACGCCCCTAACTCCCTAAGTGCAATGCCAACTTTTCTGTGGACTATCCTCTATTTGTAGCAAAAAAAAAAAGAATAGTGTCAAATTATTTAAATTTAAAAGTGCAAAATTATTACAGAATTATCGAGTACCAGATATCGTGTCAACATGTATTTCTATGACTGTTGTACTAGTTCTTTTAGTAAAATACAAATGTTTTAGATTTAACTTTACAGTTTATACATTTGTTTATTTCACATTTAATTAAAAAAAAATGTATTAATTGACTGTTGTACTAGTTCTTTTAGTAATATGCAAATGTATTTGACAGTCAAAACGTAATACCTTGAATAACAAGTTAGTACTTGATTAAGAATGAGAAGACCAACTTTTAGATGCGAAGATCAACATTACTTTATGAATCTATAAGATATTACTTGATTCACAGTAGAAATCAAATAAAAAAAAAAAAGGCAACCTAGTGCATTAAGCTCCCGCTATGCGCGGGGGAAGAACCAGACTACAAAGGTTTATTATAGACAGTATTATCCTGCAATTCTATAAGAGGCTGGTCATATGGTAACTAATATTTATAACCTAAGTAAAGTAAAAAGCTAAGCACTGTAATGACAAAGTCAAAAGAAACCATATATCCACAATCATTTACATCCTCAAACTGATGTTCATACTTCTTTCACTCTTATGGCAGTTGGATAAACACAGATTTATACAAGTACATCAACATTCATTTCTATCTGTTCCCTTCAACTTCCAAAACACTTTTGCAAAAGATCATGATCTGATTAAAGAGTCGTGGCGATCAAACAGGATGGTCATAATATCGATGCTTATCCAACTTATAGACAACTTCTGCTTCCGGTGATGCCCGCTGAAATTTTGTTAGCTCGGCGAGTATTCTGACATTTGCAGAATCTTCAACTAGACATGGCTCGATTAGCATTCTCTCCAGCCCGGGAGACATGGCCAACAAAAGCTTCATAAGCTGCATCTCAGGGATTGTGCCATTAGTTTGTATTAGCTTAACTTCCCTGAGGTGATTAAATGACACATCTGAGAAACGTTCCACATCAAGACATTCGAGAGCTGGTATATCATTGTCATCGCGCTCCACCTAAGAAAGATTAACATAAACTCAACTCCCTAAGCTTATAGATGATTTAAGGAGTACCAAAATTAGAAAGCCACTATACAAAAAGAGAAAGGCAAGAGAACCTTAATTTCCATATATTGTAAATATGGAAAGCTTCTTATCAGACAAAGAGCGCATGCAACCTCATCCCAGCAACCCAGAAAAATACTAGATATGCAAAGATGTTTGACACAGTTAAGATTAAACGAAAGCCTTGTTGGTATTTCACCTGCTCCTGCAACAAAGGACTTAGAAAAAAAGAGGCAAAAATCAGGATGACTCATAGCCCAAAAGATGTTCAATCATTGAAACTGCAATATAATGAAGCCATGAAGCAACATTTACCATGTCATTTAAGTGGAGGTATTCTATAGCAGAAAAGGACTCAAAAAACTCGGCAATATTACTTTTTCGTGCCGCCACATAATATTCCATATGCGTAAGTGAAAGTTTTGCCAGAAGAGGGGTACTTTTTAAACAGATAGAACTCATACTGCCTGTGAAGTCAAAAGATCTCAGCATGGGACCGTTAATTCCAATGACATCCCTTAAAGCACTTGAGATCTGCAGCACCAATTGCTCAAGCAACAAGCAATGAGAGATTAAACTTTCAAGCAACTTGGAAGAAATTGTAACATCACGTAATTCCAGGCTAATTAGCCTATCAAATCCTCTGAAGGCTGGTGGAGGAATTATTAAAAGATTTTGGAGAGTCAAATGCCTCAACTCGAAACATGTGAAAAATGAAGGCGGCAATTCGTACGGGTTACCCCTGATTGGAAGTCTAAGAGCAAGATGCCGAATGCCATTTCTACGGAGGAAACGTATCAATTTGTCAATATTAGGAGATCTTTCCAAATAAGGAATGAAGAGGGTGAACTTTGTGATTGCTCCATCATGAAATCTCATAAAGTGGGTGACAATCTTTGTGAATTTATGTGCAAAGTACATTAAATCCTTTTTGGTTATCCAGAGTGTTTGATCAAGCGCCAATTCTGGAAGTCTGCACCAATTATACCTCCATTTCTTTGATAAGATGCTAGTCCTTACAACATCTCGTAAAGGCAAACGCACAAGAATATCATCAATTACATTCTCAGGGAGGCTGCTAAGCATATCTAGAGGTAAAATTTGACAGTGATATTGCCTTTTGCCCTTAGGAGGCATCATATAAATATTCGCCAATAAGAACCTGCACAAAATAAACAAGATCGAGTACAAAGATGAAGAAGATCACTAAACTATTTGGATAGAACTAATGTTCACATTGTAAAATAAACATGCCCACAACTGTAAGAAGAACAGATAGCGTGTTTCGAAAAAGAGGATAGAGCCTTTTTCTCGAAAACTAACATCGTACGAAGAGAATGAATTAACGATTACAAAAATGAAGAGAAAAAACAATGACGAGAACCAAATATTAAGCTTACCAAGATCTAATATCGAAGAAGATAGAAATAGCCATTATTTTGGGCACTACTTGCACTTTGGGCTCATCACTCTACGTCCCATCTCGAGTTTCCATACTGATAAAAGAACGTTTTAAACACCCC